CCCCAAAACCCCAAAACCCCAAAACCCCAAGTGACGTCCTTTGTATTGAAATAATAAATAAGATGACATCTTTACCCAAATTGGTTACCTTGGGAGCTATACTTACTGTTCTGACAATGGCAAGCTGTGGTAAGGGAGAATTAAGAAGGGATTTTGGGGAAAGATAGGGGTTTTGGACTTGATATAATTTGAAAAGAAGATTTTGTTTGATAAATAAAGAGAGGATTTATATAAAATAATAAGCAAGCTCTTTTTGGGCAATTAGTATCAAGTTCTTAGGTACTAAGCACATTTTTAAAGCTTATAAGACTATTAAGATACTAAAAAAGGGAAGTTCTTTAAATCATCTCTATCTTAATTTACTTGTCTCATGTCTCGTGTCCAATATTCACTTTCCGACTCTCTAGCAATGACTGATGAAGACATACCCACTGAAACCTCTCGTAGAGCATTGTTCTACTCTAATTCTCCTAGTGACTGAAGATGGTGAGTTGATAATACCTACAGAAGATGGTGAACACACTCTGGAACTACTGGTAATTCGGGACAATGATGAAGAAGCTGGGAAACCTCTGGCTATTGAAGTTCTTCGGGTAGCTATGTATGTTCTAACTCAAGTAATATTGACAGTAATGGAGCAATGATACTATGACCTACATCTTCTTATGATTGTGAGACTAAAGATAGGCCTATCTATTCGACTTCAAGTACTTCAAATATCAGGACAACTTATATTGCCCGTGATTCTGTGTGTATTTATAGAATAACTACGACTCATTCTTCTATTGAAAAAGTTGAAATAGATATTGGTAAGCAATTTCTGAATGTCTAGCAATTTGTACAAAAATTGCTTTTAAGTTTTTCTATAACTTCAAATGAAGGTCAAAATTTCGAGAGAGCTTTATAAGCAAACTTTTCGCTATATTTACTATCTCTTCTAGTATTCTTTTACCCATATTAAACCAATAATGGCATTATCTTCCAAATTCAAACCACTTAATTGTATAAAATTAGATAGAAACCAACTCAAAAGGTCTCCATTATATATAAACTAATTTATCTAACTTACCTTTAAATTTTGAGTATCATCAAAACCTCTTTGCAACTTTTTCCTCAAAATTTGCCATATTCCTCTCTAATAAATAACTATGAATCTTTGAGTTCATCTCGTGGTACCTAGTCTAGATCTCCTTGTCATAAATGGTTCAAAATAGTCCTAAAAATCCTCTGAACGAGGTTCCTTTTTCCGCTAATAAACAAATTGAGTCTCTAAAACCTTCAGAAATTGCTAGATTTCTCAGATTTTTTCGAATAACCAAATTTATCGGGAATTATTAAAAAATTGGAAAATTGGCATTGCTTTTGTTCTGGCCTTTTATGAGTTGTGATGAAGGTATAAAGCAGGAAACTGGTTTCAGAGAGGAACCTAGTCTACTTCTTTCAGATATTTCTGCTTGAAGTTATTTAAGAGGTTTATAATAGAAGCAATAAATTTTAGCAGCTATTATTAACCAAGCCATGTTAATGGAAAGGATTTTTTATGAAATTCCAGCTTGTTTAGAGATGTATTCATTTCAATATGTATCAAAATGGCTGACACACTTGTTGTATATTTGCAGGAGAAATGGGAAAAGCCAGTCATTCTTCAATAAAGGGTCTGGATAATGATGGTTCAGATCTTTTAAAATTTGCGGAAGCTTAGGTGCACTTTGTTCTAGGCTGGTCCAATTTTCTAATGTGCTTTTTGAACATAGCACTAAGTTTTCTGGCCTTCAGAAAAATTATACACAATCTGAATCATCATAATCCAGATCCTTTGTTGATGCCTGGCCGGCTTCTCCCATTTCTCTTCACAAAGATACAGTGGGTTTGTCAATCATTTTTAACAAATATTGAGACCACTACATCTCTGAACAAGCTGGGGCATCATAAAAATTCTTTAAGTTGTCATGGCGCAATTATGAACAATAGATAAAACCAATTGTTTTAATTATTCTATCTGTAATAGTTACAAATTCTTCAATTTTGCTGGTGGAATGATTCGTAAATTTCTGGTCAACTTTTTGGGTCAATTTGTTTATGGAATTAGAAAATCGGTACGTGGGGGATCTATTGGCTTAGTATAATATAGGTATGAAGGAGAGGTGCTGTTTTGTATCTTTGATTATATCCAAGGGTTATCCATTATTAGTGAACGACCTAATTTACCAAATTTTTGATACTAAATTTCACTCAATTATTCCTTAGAGTATTTTCTAATTCTGTAATAAATCACTAAATAATTTACGCAAACCTCTCTAACTCCGTTCAAAATTTCTTGTTTCAATTAGATGGCAGTTCCATTTTCGCTTAAAAAGTTCCAAAATTGTGCCTAAATCGTTCTTTTCTTTCTTGATCTAGTCTTTTAAAATCCTCTATTTGTACAGTAAATTCTAAAATCTACGGCAAGGATAGTCCTTGTGCAGTTGGGTTCAAGGCTTTGGCCTGGAGATTTGGAGGTTATTCAGTGGAGAATGCAACGTTTTGGGGTTTGAGAAAATTAAATTGGGTATAGATGATTTGACGAATGCAGCAGTTACAATTTTCACCGGTCCTGAAGACCAAAACAGTTATACATTCCAGAGCACGATGACAGAAAACGACCAAAAGAACTTCACTCTCAACGCTAACAACGACGTCTACATCGTCGTCGAGCCTAGCTCCTCTTACAACCTAATAGACATCGACTACAAAGCTTATGAAATCTCGACCACCACTCCAACCTCCACATTCCCCACCGGCAGGTACGTTTCCTCTCTGGTGTTCCAGCCCCGTTCTGCCTTCTGCTAAACTTCTCATTTCACGAAGGATTTCATGGAACCAGGCATTTACTGTGGTATAGTAGTAGCTCAAGTGAGAGTAGTAGTGTGGGAACGATAATTGGGAGTGTAGTGATAGTGGTGGTTATATGTGCAGTGGGTGTAGTGGTTGGGCTTTTGATTGTGTTTTTGTGAAAGAAGTGAAGGAAGACAAAATGACAAATATTGTAAAAAAATCACTCCACCCCAAAATTCCCTACCCAAAACCCTCTCCAACCCCTTCCCCTCCAAAACACCACCCTGCACAACCACCCCACCACCACACCCAACCCCGTCCCCAAATCTACCTCTCTTCCAACCTCCAAATCCCCCCTCCCATCGCAAACACCTCCTACACAATCCGTATCTCCCCTCCTAACCCTCTAGCTGACCCTGACCCTCTATTCCCTCATAACTTCACTGAACCCCCTCTGATCCCAAAGTAAGCCTCTTGTGTACACTACGACTAGAAATTTAAAACTTGGAGTAGAAGCTGTAGAAGGATTTTTAAGTTAAAGAATTTTGTATGTGAACGAATGGGATTTTAAGTGGGATGAGGGGAGATTTGTAGTAGAGATTTTAATGGTTTTGGTGAGGAAGGGTGGAATTTATGGAGTAGGGGAGAAATTTGGAAGGAGTGTTGTAGAGGAGGGTGTGATCTGTGCTGTTTGAGAGGATAGGTGTTTTGGTAGTGAGGAGAGGGAGGATGTTTAATCATGGTTTGGTCATTTTATTGGTGGTTGTCAAAGTAATAGTTTGGGTGATATTAGTTCGATGTTTAATAGCTGATAATGTTATAGTGGAGCCATGCCTGTTAGAAAGTGAGTTAGGCATAGAAGAGATGTGGATGTTGGCCTTCCTGTTGAAGCTGGATTTGGAGATTCAGATATAGTTGAAGGTAAGAGCAAAGTGTGAGTTTTATAGGGAATCCTGTTGGACCAGTCATGAATGAGAAAGAGTTTTAAGTGAAGTTTTTGAATCAAGGCTCAGGATTTATGTTGGGGTTTTGGGGTTTTGGGGTTTTGGGGTTTTGGGG